GTAACAAGTGCCTTACTAGTAGTAACAAGAAGCTATTAGAAACAAGTTCATCGCTACTAGTAACAAGTGCCTTGCTAGTAGTAACAAGAAGCTAGTAGAAACAAGAAGCAGCGGGAGGAGTTTTCACCAGATCCAACTGACACATCTCTGAGAGCCCATTGGGAGTCAGTGAAAAGAAGATACATTGTCCAAGGATGTCCAAGGTGCTGGGTGAAGTAGTGAACTTGCAATGCATCAAAGGATTGCCACATTGGCGAGCCGTAGTACTTGCAAACCCCACATCCTGAGGTTCAACACTGGCCTGCAGGGCCTGATGTTTGCACCTCTGATGCTTCATGCAGTTTGCAGAATCCACATATATATCTAGAGATACTGTATGTTTTTCAAGTCTACGCTTATATGTTCATGGGAGACCAACGCCTGCTGTATGAATTTTCACCAGCCAATAAGGCAAGAAGTCTCACAAGCTGAGATCAAGGCCCAGCATCTTCCGAAATGCAAAGAAACCTCAGCCACCATGCTCAGAACCACATGCATCCCACTTTCCTGTGGCTGACTGGTGTGTGTTGCTATGTGTGTATATATATATATCTAATATACGTCTATACTAGTAATATTAATATATACCTGATCTTCAAAGGGCACAAATCTTTGCCGGATGTATTTTTCAGTGAAAAGTAAAGACACCGAATCAAAAACATGCCCTTCCAAGAGTTGCAAACATGTGCTCAAAATTGCTCAAAATCCATGGACGAGGAAAAACGCCGTTTGGACGCCTAAAGACGCCAAATCTTTTTGGTTTCTCACCTCGTTACCACGAAATTTGCCGCCTTCCGCCTTGTCACAAACAAAAAACATCAAAAAACTCCTTTATGGACCATATACAGCATTTTTCTGAAAAGGCCACTATCTGTGCCGCTTCGAAGCTCCAGCATATATAATTCAAAAACAGGATAAAACAGGCACATTCTGTGCAAAAACCTTGAAACACTCCATAGAATTCCATCCACCCGACCCACTGACCCACCTGCAGGTCCCAGGCACGAAGCACCAGCAGTGCTTGCCTGGCGAAGCCAGGCAGTGAAGTCATCGAGGGTTCTTTCACACGGTTCAAACAGGCAGAGCCTTTTCAATTATGCTGTGGTTATAGGGTTTTGATGGGTTTTTAATAGAATCATGTTTTTGTGATCATGTGTGATCCATATATGCGCATGAGACTGGAAGATGACATCCACCTTCTAAAGAACCCATTTTGGCTGATTGGTCCCAGAATGTCCCAAATTGCATCACACTTCAGAGAATCAGTCAACCCCATTATGCAAGAGATCTACACGAACATGCGGCGCTGGATGTGCTGGTCTTTTCGAGCGGATGGTGTTGAAATGTGTTGAAGCCAGCACGGGTGTTGAAGCCAGCACGGGTGGCTGCAAAGAAGTCCCAAAAACATTGGTCTTGGGAACCTCGCTTGTGGCCTGCTGTAGGTGGCCATCCGGTGCAAACTCCTGCTGGCCTGGGATGACTCCTTGCCAGGATGCTCAACAGCGCCATCAGCGCGTCGACCTCACGAGCGACACAGAGCGACGGAGAGCGACGCAGCTGTCGATGAAGAGCGACGCTGTCGATGAAGAGTGACGCAGTCGCTGCTGAAACAACCCACACAAAAATGCATGCAAAATACAAGCAAATTGGAGAGGAACAACTCCATCGTGTGATTCTTCCTAGCCCAGTCATTGCCACATTCCAGAATCTGCGCCTCGACGAGGTTGGAGTCCGACTGAAGTCCCAGGAAATCGCCCGACACCGCCTCCATCCCGGGGTCGGGATGAGATCGAAACCCTCCCGGCCAAGGGAAAAGTCAAGTGTCGGAAGGATTAGAGTTGCGCCACCTTGTTGTAGCCTGGAACTGCTACCAACTCCCATGGATATCCGACATCTCATTGACACTGACAGGGTGCCATGCTCATGGAGAAGCCATTCTGCCCCCGGCGAAAGGTGTGGCGTGGCCCGAACAGCCATCTATAGGCGGGCGGTTGATAGACTTTCCCGGATTCACTGTCCTTTCCATCCAATCACCGTCCGTCCACTGGGTGGTGCTGGAAGTGAAGTGTCTGCCAAGCCAAATTCGAAGATGGGATGCCCCAATGGGACCCCTGACCCGAATCCTCTGGTAATGTAGAATGTTGATGAATCAACCCTGTGAGACATCGATTGCAAAATAACCATGAAAAACCTGTTCATATCGGGGGGGTGATTGATCAAGAGTCTACATTACATTACCATACCCATGTGGAGGGCCACAACCCGAAAAACCCTGACTGACTGACTGACTGACTGACTGCCTGGTGTGTTTTTCAAATGATATTGGCCGCTCCGCACTGCTCGCGTGAGGCTCACCGGAAGCCTCCGAAACGTCCGGGCTCGGAGGAATTGGAGCGAATCCCTTGGCCTCGAATCCCCTAGGACTGCAGGATTGACTCAATGCCTTATAGTAACAAGGGAATCGCTATTAATTAGTAGCAAGAAGCTACTAGTAACAAGGTCTGAAACAGCCACTTCCGGCCTGCAAGGAGAGATAAGTCCACCCAGCAGCCAGCCAAATGAGGGGCACCTGCCGAGTTCCGACGACACTTGGAGATTATACCGCATACCGAACAAACACCGGGTCCCATGCCATCCACTTCCATGTTTGTTGGAGAAGGAGGGTACGACGCAATCCAATGCCATACTTGTCTGAATCGGCGATTGCTCTTCTGCACACCAGAGTTCATTTGTGCATAATAGGCATCGTCAACCCGAGTGCTGAAAGGGATCCTGGTTAGACTAGAGATAGGAAGCGACCGTTGCATGATCCTACATGAACTTTATAAGAGTCTGTATCAGACATCATCGAACAAAAATAATGAAAAACCTTAGATCGAATCTACATGTATATTAGACATGGAAAGCAAGCCTGCAAACCCAAGTCACCGACTTCCAGCAGCAAATTCCTTTAGAAGGTAAACCCGAAGCCACTACTTAGGGACAGAATTAGATCTCGAGACAGGACACCAAAACAGGATGGTCCAGGTATGTCAAGTCTTGGGCACTTATGCGAGTGGTCTAGGCCTTTTTAGGGGCAATCATTGAGGGGCCCCCTGTTCCACGAGCCGCGTCCCCCAGCTCTTCTCGGCGGCACCAAGGTCTGCACGAAGCTTTGCGGCCAAAGGACCTTGCGGCCACGGTCTGCACGAAGGGTGTTTGAACAGTCGGTTTTGGAAACCTATAGGTTTCCGGTCGCCCACCATTGTTACCACGGTCTTTACCAAAAAATAACGTTGTCTTAGACCGTCCAACAAGTACATCGAAGCATCGGAGACACTCCCTGAAATAATCATGGAACTGGAGTTCACCACCTGTTTGCAAAAGAAATGTGGTCATTCAAGATAATGATTTCAAGGAGTCTAGTCTTTTGGAGCCCCTAGTAGCGTCCTTGTTCCTAGTAGCGATGCCCTTTGCTCCTAGTAGAGATGCCAGGAGCCCCTAGTAGCGTCCTTGTAATGATTTCAAGGAGTGTAGTGTAGTCTTTTGAATGTCCTTTGTTCGGAGAACACGGTGATGGTTTTCTCCGGGCAAGTTGCACCTGTGATGCAAACGGTGCAATCAAAAAACCGTTCGGACCTTTTGTCCCGCAGGGTGCAAAGACAATGTCACCTTTGGACATGACATACCGCTCTCTTAGACCATGGACATGGAAAGTACACTTGGATTACGAACGGGGTCATCTAAGGAAGATTAGGAAGAAGAACGCTACTAGGGGCTCCTGGCCTTACTACTAGGAGCAAGGACGCTACTAGGAGCAAAGGGCATCGCTACTAGGAACAAGAACGCTACCAGTAGCTCCTGGCCGTACTTACAAGGAGCAAGGACGCTTTGGACCTGCTGTAGACCGACATGGCTCGCGGGCACAATGCGATAGACACGGTGGCACGGCCGAGGTCACTGCCAAAGATATCGGCACTTCAAGAGATCTCGGTGTCGGTGGCCGAGTCCTGTTGCTTTGACTTCTGCAAAGGCAACTGGACCATCATGGAGCTCGCTCTGGAAGAGGAATGAACACATCTCCACGCATCAGGTACCTCTGCACATCTGATCCAATGGACAGCCGTGCCAAGTGTGTACGAGCAGATCTTTGTCAATGCCCTTTCAACTAACTGTATAGTCCACTTTAAGCCTTAATGAGCAACACCATCGCGGCTGGTCTAGGTTTCACCTCTTCCACACCTCGTGCAACTCACTTCACTCGAACAAAACGCATCATGATTGGCAAACTCGCTAGCCGCTAGGATCACTACAGATCTTCAATGATACAAACTCTCAAACCCAGCCAACACCACGATTTGCGGCGTCTTCTGCCTATCCAGGGTAAGTTCAATTTGCTTCGTTCGCCGTTCGCCGTAGACCCTCCTGCCTGGCGGTGCGGTCAAAGCCTGCGCCAGAAGCATGCCAGCCCTGTGGCCCTTCATGTACATCTGCGCGTACTTCAATGACCTGGTCATCGACACATTGACACAGGGCCCAATTATCGGTCCCTCTCATTAGTTGCGAGTGGGGTGTACTCGTGCGTCAATGGGTGTCAGGAAGTCATGGTCATTGCTCCCGTGGTGATGTAGTCAGGAAAGCCAGGTAGAGCATGGAAGCTGATGTTTGAGACACACCCAAGGAGGTGCAAAGATTGTAGTCAGCCATGGTCTTGTTCAACAGTCATAAGCCATCATAAGCCATTTATATACACAGTTGTGACACTAATTGTGATATGTTCACTCTCAAACTGAATATACTGATGACACCGCTGCTTGTTCGAGTACGAAAATTGATAGGCTTTTTGCAACCAAGGAACACCACCAGGGTGACCAATGCGGATTTGTTGAGACCTTCGAGCCTCTGGGATACAACGATATGGAACGCTCCCGACGACCTGGGTGTGCGACAGCAGCACGACACGGAGTCTGAACCGAACGTCGCCGCTGGAAGACTCCCGCACGACTCGCGTAGAGAAAAACGAGCACAATGAGTCCCTGTTTGGATTGTCAGTGGACTGCCAGAGTCAAGCGTGTTTCTGTTCACGAAGACACGTAAGATTGGAACCAAACTGAAGACGTAAGTAAGTCACGGGCCTGCGCTGCACAGGCCAATGCAATGGACCCTGTGCCAGTAAAGGCGTGATGAATGCCTCAGGAGAAAGATGACAAGAGCTCTAAGTTCAGGTTCCTCTTCATCCAGGCTATTCCTGACCACTGGTCTATGTCTACTTGGGGGCCGATGCATTCTCTCTAGAACAACTAATTACTGTAGAGCTTTGTCGTTCGCAGGTCAAAGTGGAAGAATCTGGTTTGCCTCAACATAAGACATATGACCATGGCTGAAAAATAAGGTCACCCAACAGCCCTGGTAAATGGACAACATGACAATTAGTAAAACGCGCGGGTGCCAGGGCCAGGGTCTTCTTTTTTGAGCCACGTCAATCTCAATGGTAATGCTGTTATCCAACTTGCTTGAAAGTGGTCTACTACAGGTCTCCTAATGTAGAATATCGATTAATAAAACATATTTTAAAAAACAAGGTGAGCCCGCGGACCCAAAAGCAAAAAGAAGCGCACAACCCAGGAAAAATAAACAAACACAAATTGGCAGGCCAAAACGAAGCATCAGCCCCCTCCAGGCTTCGTGGCAACTATGATATTTCAAGCATCGCGGTTCTGGTGCAACACAGCTCCACTCACCTCCCAACGGGCTTCCGCGAAGCATGGAGCAGCACTACCCCCACCCATGCTTCGTTCTACTTGTGCACTGACCCGGAGCAGCCTGCAATGATGCTGGTGGTGCAACCATGTGCTCGACGCAACAATCCTGCCGTTTCAGCCACGACTTGACCGTCTGTCGCGTGCATTGCGCACTTTTTGGACACCCAAGACCATCGTATAAGCCCCGCAGCTCCACTCACCTCCCAACGTGCTTCCGCGAAGCATGGAGCAGCACTACCCCCACCCATGCTTCGTTCTACTTGTGCACTGACCCGGAGCAGCCTGCAATGATGCTTGCGGTGCAACCATGTCCTCGTAACTGGCATATCAGCCGCGCAAGCGTCCACACCCATGCACTCCTCAGCCCCGTCCACACCCAAGCCAACTCCCCTCCATCTTCCCTCCCCAGCCCCGTCCACACCCATGTGCGCCTCCCACTCCCTTCCTTCTTCCCTCCCACCCATGCGCCTCCCGTCTCGCTCCCCTCCATCTTCATGCGCCCCCCGTCTCGCTCCCCTCCATCTTCCCTCCCAGCCCCGACCCCACGCGCCTCCCGTCCCACCCACGCGCCTTCCGTCGCGCTCCCCTCCACCCATGCACCATCTTCCATCCCCAGCCCCATCGCCTCCCGTCTCGCTCCCCTCCATCTTCCCTCCCCAGCCCCTGGCGTACTTCTAGGGCTCCGTCCGACTCTGCGCCGCACGGTCTCCGACAGATGCCCAGTTTGGGCCACGTGTGGCGTTGGGCGCGTGGCAGTTCTGTCTTTCGTCGGGTTGGCTTTTGGATGTATCATATACCTGGAACCTGAGTGACCCTTGTTTTGGAGGGTCAACTATCCCAAATATGGCCTTTTCCTGTCAAAAAAGGTGTCAAACGGATTCTAGGTGTATATATATAATATATATCAACTGGTTGTTTTCAATCTGCAGCTAGTCTCCAATAACATTGCAACATGGCTTCTGACAACCGTTCCAGGAAGCCTGGAGCAGTATCGGCCCCCCTCCAAGGTTCGTTCCAACCGTACAATTTCCCACGTTGCGCTTGTGGCACATAACGCCCCTCCCGTGTCGGCCATGCCTTGACTGTCTGGCGCATGTACTGTGCACATTTTGGACACCCAACCCCATCGTATCAGCCCCGCGGCACAGCTCCACTCACCACCCAACACACGTCCGCGAAGCATGGACCAGCACTACCCCCACCCATGCTTCGTTCTACTTGTGCACTGACCCGGAGCGGCCTACCATGACGCTTGTGATGCGACCATGTGCTCAACGCAACATTGCCTGTCGTAGGCATTGTGCACATTTTGGACACCCAAGACCATACCTAAGCCCCGCAACACCGCTCCACGTGCCTCCGCGAAGCATGGAGCAGCACTACCCCCACCCATGCTTCGTTCTACTTTTGCACTGCCCCAGAGCAGCCTGCAATGATGCTTGTGATGCTTGCGGGCTCCCGTCTCGCTGCCCTCCATCTTCCCTCCCCAGTCTCGTCCCCACCCGCCCCAGCCCCACCCATGCGCCTATGCGCCTGCGCTGTCGCAGCCCCGTCTCCACCCATGCGCCTCCCGTCTCGCTCCCCTCCATCTTCCCTCCCTCCATCTTCCCTCCCCAGCCCCGTCCCCACCCATGCGCCTCCCGTCTCCTCCATCTTCCCTCCCCAGCCCCGTCCCCACCCATGCGCCTCCCGTCTCGCTCCCCTCCATCTTCCCTCCCCAGCCCC